TGGGCATGAAAGGGGAAGCATTGATTTGGACCAGTCACTCCACTCTTCTTTGACTCTGTGTACAGTTTAGATCAGTTACCAAATGGCTTCTACCATTGAAACAAAACCCCCATCTTATTTCAACACGGCCTCAGGCAAGCAGGGGAAAGAAAAAACCCACCAGGAGCATTTGAAATCCCGGTTCATCTTCTCTAAATCTTTTCCAATTGTTGTGGATCTTGTTTGAGGTGAACAGACCAGACCCAAACACAGCATATGACGTTCTTATGCCCAAGTAATTCCTATCATATAATTTGTTTCTTTTACTGCTACCAAGAGGATGTTTTTATAAAGCTATTTATTATAATCCAAAGATTTCACCTTAGAATGACAGAACTTAGTTGGGATCCTATTTTGTTTCCATATATATAATTTTACAGTTACATATATTAAATTTGCCTACCACTTTTTGCACCAAAGTGTTTCTGCAATGCTCCACAATCAATTACGTCTTCACTTTACCCTCAGCAACCTGGGTAACCACTACTTGGTGTTTGTACAGCATGATTCCAAAATAGGGTCTTAAAGTACACTAAATTTGATTATGTTTCATTTTACATTTAAACTATATATGCCAAGCCATTTCTACAAGAAAGACATAAACAGTATAAATCAGTACCATTTACAATGCTTAAGCTAGTGTTTGTTAAGCTTCTGCTCTGTGGGAGATTTTTATTAGCCTTGAAGAACTATCATATTATCAGGTTAGGTAGAAAAAGGTACAATATTCACTTTCATTTCAAAGTTCTTTACAGCTCTGTGCAAGATTCACTTCAATTTACAATCACGTAATACAGATGGGAGAAAAAAAAACAAACAAACAACAAAACCAAAGCTGCATCTTATCTACAATGCTCAAAATGTTGTATTACTTTGTTATCGTAGAGGAGCACACTTTTAGTTTCAGCATGTGCAGAAGGTAACCCCTGTCTTTTGCTGTTCTTACCACTTGCTCTGGTAAAATTCCTGCTTCTCTTTAATCTTACCACAAGTCTCAACACATACTTTACAGTCAAAGCTCACATGACCACAAGCTTCATTGCATTCTTAAATGTGTTGATAAATTAATTTGCTTCTAAACTCCGAGTGCATGTTTTACCATTTTGAGGACAAGGTCAGAAGTATGATGAACCCTGACTAAATCAGTTAAGGTCAGGCTTAGATAAGCCTCTTCATAATGTGATGATTACAGCTTTTTCTGAACAACATAATTTGTGCAGACTGCTGCTCAAAACCGACATAAATTTGACAGTGCTGTGCAGTTTGCAACTGCCCTCCTGAGCTGAATCAACTTCAGTGTCATTTGAACAGTACTCGTTGCAATTTGCTACAACCATTTACCCACAGTATTACTTTCCAAAGGCTCTTTCCAAATTTTACTGAAACAGTGGCACTTCATCTACAGTGATGGCTAAGTAGTACAATTCTGACCTGTTGTGTTGCTGGCTGAGATTAAATAATATAATTTCTTGTACTACATTAAAACCAGGAGGGGACTCACATTCACAGAATCACAGAATCACAGAACGTCAGGGATTGGAAGGGACCTCAAAAGCTCATCCAGTCCAATCCCCCTGCCGGAGCAGGAACACCCAGATGAGGTTGCACAGGAAGGCGTCCAGGCGGGTTTTGAATGTCTGCAGAGAAGGAGACTCCACAACCTCTCTGGACAGCCTGGTCCAGTGCTCTGTCACCCTCACTGAGAAGAAGTTTCTTCTCAAATTGAAGTGGAACCTCCTGTGTTCCAGCTTGTGCCCATTACCTCTTGTCCTATCATTGTTTGTCACCGAGAAGAGCCTGGCTCCATCCTCGTGACACTCACCCTTTAAATATTTATAAACATGAATGAGGTCTCCCCTCAGTCTCCTCTTCTGCAAACTAAAGAGCCCCAGCTCCCTCAGCCGCTCCTCATAAGGGAGATGCTCCACTCCCTTGATCATCTTTGTAGCCCTACGCTGGACTCTCTCCAGCAGTTCCCTGTCCTTCTTGAACTGAGGGGCCCAGAACTGGACACAATATTCCAGATGCGGTCTCACCAGGGGAGAGTAGAGGGGGAGGAGAACCTCTCTCGACCTACTCACCACCCCCCTCCTGATACAGCCCAGGATGCCATTGGCCTTCTTGGCCACAAGGGCTGCTCTAGTACTTGCAGTGATGGAGAAATCCATTCTCAACTTGAAAGGCATTCATCTTAAAATTTATTATTAAATTAAAGGTAATTATTACCCCACAGAGGTATGTTATGGAAGAGTAAAACTTTTACTACTGTTAAGTGGAAATAGTCTGGTCTTAGTCTTAATAAACAAATTAAGAACAATCACAGCCATCTCAACACCACCACAAGCAAAAGATGGAACACAAAAACAAGTGAAAAAGGTAAACTGTAGCAAAGAAAATGAATATCTTAATATCTGTGGCTTCACATAACAATCTCTATTTAAACATTCAAACAAACGAAACCCGAAAAAACCCCAACCTACCACCACATCAGTGAGCATGAGAACAGAATCATACATGATAAACAACCGTGCTCTGTTCTCCTATCAGATAACCTTGAGTATGTTTCTAGCGTGACTTCAAAACAGATCCATGTGGCATTCTCGTCACACAGACTAAATGCACTGTTTGTTACTTATCAACCTGTCTGTCGTCTGCAGCAGCTGAAAAAGTAATTTGATTTAACACTGGCACAAAAATGACTTCCTTTCTCCCTGCAAAAACCTCCTCTTCGGCCTAATACTTATCACAAAACACCTTCATTCAGTGTACCAATTTGGATGATACAGAAGTAACATAAGAACCAACAACCTTGTACATACAGACTCCCATGTACCTTGACTTATCAAACATCGATTTCCATATTTTGTGTATGATAAACCACTGTTACTGCATTTACACACTTATTTTCCTCATTAAATACAACAGAATGGCCCTTTCCACTCATCTTTGATGTATGTTTCTTGTATCCATCCAACATAAATCTTTCCAGCTTGCAATAATATGAAAACTAAGAGGTCAAGCAGCTTCAACTGTATAAAACAAGATTTTCACACACACTGTTGGGCACACCAGATTAATTATAAGACCAATAATTAACATCATATGTAAGATCACAGCAGATCACTCACCTAACTTCCTGCAGAGATTGGTTATACTTTCCTGATAGATGCTGTAACAAACTCAACAACTGATCTCATCCAGCAGGCATAAAGATAACGCTGGATTTCCAAAAAAAAAAAAATCACTGAGGGTACTAACACTAGCAAGATGGAAAAAACAACCTCACAACTTTCAATTAAGTATGATGGTGCTTAGAGCAATAGTAATAAATTAAATTTCACTTTTGAACATCTTAAGTTTACTGTTAGATAGACTGCGTCATGCAAGTAAATAAATGCTATTTATAACTACGTCTAAGCCACAGCAACCCAGTCATACAGCCATTTCCCAGACTGTGTTATTGTTATTCCAAACAGACTACTCTTTCATTTCTTGTCAGTTGTAATTACAGTTCCATAATTGAAATACAGTAAATTACCATGCAGTAACTTTGAAATATGGTTCACTGAGGTTAAGCTGTCACTACAATTACCGTATAATAAAAAATGATAATTTAAATGTTCTACTTTTCTCTCAAAGAAAAAAAAATAATTCAGTTCAAGCAGCTCAGATGAGTCAAATATCTTCACGATGATGTAAACAAAGAGAAACAACACATTTAAGCAAAGCCAAGCAATCTCAAGTGGAAGTCCTAGGCTACGTAAACAAATCAGTGTATATAAGCTTTGCTAACCACTGAAAAAAACCTGCAAGAATACTCCTTATCAGAATTCAGCCATACAATATTTATCCAGCATCTTCTATACCTCCTCCTATTTTTCTCATAAAGCACACAAATCTTTGGAAACTTTTTTCAAGTTTCAAGCCTAGTTTCAATTCAGTTCTACATTGTGTTTTCAGCCACGACCAGTAGGATAACTGCAACTCACCTAACACCAGTGAAGTGTGGGTAAAGGATATAAATTAGCATGGACATTTCTAAGCACAAAACTAGGCCTACAATTTTGACTTACATTGGTCAAGCACAGTTTGCCTTTAGAAATTTTCTCAAATATATGACAGAAATAAGATTGGAAAAGGGGATATGAAAAAATAAATTGTAAAAGTAATGCTCAAAGTTTATGAGAGCTGTTCCCTTACAAAAAAAATACTTCAATACATTCCGTGCTGCCGTCTCTGCAAAGATAACTTCACAAAGGACACCTTTTGCAAAACAGTAACAGATGTGCACATTTGAAAACTGTTCCTATTCCTCCCCTCAGAAAG